CGGCTCTTTCATTCTGCAGAATGGGGGGACCGGGTTTGGTATTGCTCGGAGGAGGTGTTCTTTCCTTTGGGGCTTTTAGTTCGGGACTGGCAGGACTGCAAAGTCTTCTGCTGGCTGCAGTATGTTGTCCAATGACAGTAGTGACAGACTTCACAGTTCCCGGGATCCCAGATCACCGCAGACTGTGACAGCAGCCATGAAATTAAAAGACGGCTGCTCCTTGGGAGGAAAGCGACGGGGAACCTAAACAGCATGATAACAAGCAGAGACATCACCCTGCCAACAAAAGTCCGCATGGTCCAAGCAATGGTATTCCCAGTAGTCATGTATGGCTGCAAGAGTTGGACCATAAGGAAGGCCGAGCGCTGAAGAATAGATTCTTTTGAACTGTGGTGCTGGAGAAGACTCTTGAGAGTCCCTTGGACTGCAAGAAGATCGAATCAGTCCATCCTAAAAGAAATCAACCCTGACTGTTCCCTGGAAGGCCAGATAATGAAACTGAAGCTCAAATACTTTGGCTACCCAATGAGAAGGGAGCACTCACTGGAGAAGAAGACCCTGATGCTGGGAAAGATTGAAGGTCAAAGAAGACGGGGACGGCAAAGGATGAGATGGTTGGACAGTGTCATCGATGCAACGAACATGAAGTTGAGCCAACTTCAGAGGACGGCAGAAGACCGGAGGGCCTGGCGTGATCTGGTCCATGGGGTCGCGAAGAGTCGGACTCAACTGTGCGACTGAACAACAAAAGTTGTCGAAGGCGTTCACCGCCGGAGTTTATTAGTTTTTTGTTTTTTCTTAAATAATAAAATTTTATTAAGTTTTTGATACCGTCAGCAAAATTAAAACCAAACTGCGTTGCCAATGAATATAAATAAAAATCAGTTTAAACTAAAACATAACGAAGAATTAAATAACTTGCCGCTTGTTAACCCCTGCCTTCCAAAAAGCAGTAATGTTGACCAAGTATATCACTTAACTTGGAGGCCTATACCACGTCTGGCGAATGTGTAAGTAAATATTACGGACTTCATAAACAGGTATTTCGAGTTCATTAGTTGTTGTGGATTTTCCCTCCCTGTATGTCCGTGGTCTCCTCGAGCTTCTCTGGGGCCATAAAGGTAAAGGTTTCCCTTGCTCGAAAGCCGACTCTAGGGTTGCGGTGCTCATCTCCGTCTCCAAGCCGAAGAGCCAGCACTGTCCGAAGACGTCTCTGTGGTCATGTGGCCGGCATGACTAGACACTGCGAGGCGCACGGAACACTGTTCCCTTCCCACCGAAGCAGTACCTATTTATCTACTTGCAATTCCTTGCTTTCGAACAGCTGGGACCAGAGACGGGAGCTCACTCCGTCATGCGGCACCCGGGTCTCAAACTGCCGAACGACTGACCTTCCCGCCAGCAGTTCAGCGTCTTAACCTCTAAGCCACCGCGGCCCCTTTACATTGATAAAGCCCAGAAAATCTACAACAACTAATCTTCTGCGCAGGTTTAAGAGGGCTGCGGCGTACAAAAGGGCTGACCGACTTCCTTGGAGACGTGATCAGGGACTGTGGGTTCCCCATTGCTGTGTCCAAGTTACTGTTAAGTGGGATCCTATCTATGTAATTCCTGTAATGCTTAATGTGTCGTGTGAACGCTTTTGCTCTGCTTCGGTTCCTTCGGGCGCTTCCAGACTTCTAATACTCTCATGCAATGGGCATCGAACACCCCATTCCGTTGATTGTCCTGATTTGCACTATTTCATCCGCCCGGTGAAAAAGGCGGACTAGCAGGGATGTAACAAGCAACTTGCACCCCCCACACACCTTTACCAAAGACCCAACCCACCTAATACTTTTATTAAAGGTAAAGGTTTCCCTTGCTGGAAAGCCAGTCGAATCCAACTCTAGGGTTTCGGTGCTTATTTCCGTTTCAAAGCCGAAGAGCCAGCGCTGTCGGAAGACGTGTCCGTGGTCATGTGGCCGGCATGACTAGATGCCGAGGCGCACGGAACGCTGTCCCCTTCCCACCGAAGCGGTACCTGTTTATCTACTTGCAGTTTCGGACTGCTAGGTTGGCAGGAGCTGGGGCCAGAGACGGTAGCTGTCATGCAGCACTAGGGTCTCGAACTGCCGAACTACCGACCTTCTGGTCTGTGGCTCAGCGTCTTAACCCCTGAGCCAAGCGAAAGCCATGTAACGGGGTGCCAGCTTTCAAGTTCTCCAAAACTTCAGTTCATCAGACTGAATATTACCAAAAGCAATTCTAAAAATGCAGGCAAAAGATGGTTTTTGAGAGAGGGAGGAATCCCGTCAGACATGATCTTGCAGCCTGTTCAAGCCCGAATCTGGTGCTGGCTGGGGAGCAGGTGCGAAGGGGGCTCCTTGCAAGACACGCTGCATCTCTCTCCTCCCCCCGCCCCTTTTTAAGTACATTGTTTGGTCAACGTGCAGCTTAATAAAGCATTACAGAGAACTGGAAAGTTCACACCCTGTGGCAGGTCATTTCGTTGGTCCTAACAGAAGGTGTTACATTGATTGTGTTCTTGGCTTGGGATTTTGTTGGACTAGGCTCTGGGGAGCTGACACTGTCTAACCATCTCATCCTTTGCCGTCCCCGTCTTCTTTGACCTTCAATCTTTCCCAGCATCAGGGTTTTCTCCAGTGAGTGCAAACATGTCTTTCAAATGCCGGGAAAGATGCCTGGCTTTAAAGTTTGATGCGAACGTATCAAGCAAGCTAGTACTGTGAAAGGGTCATTATGGCTCCTGATTCTGCCACTTTCTCCAGATACTTGGTGACATATCTCTGCAGGTCTGCTATTGGTTCACTGACTTCAGCCTTTGAGAAGTTCCTGGTGGTGATGCACTGTGCTAAAACTGATGCTGCTTTTGGAAGAGCAGTTCTTCAGAGCCTGTTTCTTCAAGACGACCTGCAGATAACATCAGGTACATGGCTCCCTAGTCATCAAATCACCGCAGACTGTGACTGCAGCCATGAAATTAAAAGACGCCTGCTCCTTGGGAGGAAAGCGATGGCGAACCTAAACAGCATGATAAAAAGTAGAGACATCACCCTGCCAACAAAAGTCTGCATGGTCCAAGCAATGGTATTCCCAGTAGTCATGTATGGCTGCGAGAGTTGGACTATAAGGAAGGCCGAGCGCCGAAGAATAGATTCTTTTGAACTATGGTGCTGGAGAAGACTCTTGAGAGTTCCTTGGACTGCAAGGAGATCAAATCAGTCAATCCTCAAAGAAATCAACCCTGACTGTTCCCTGGAAGGCCAGATAATGAAACTGAAGCTCAAATACTTTGGCCACCAAATGAGAAGGGAGCACTCACTGGAGAAGACCCTGATGCTTGGAAAGATTGAAGGTCAAAGAAGACGGGGACGGCAAAGGATGAGATGGTTAGACAGTGTCATCGATGCAACGAACATGAAGTTGAGCCAACTTCAGAGGACGGCGGAAGACAGGAAGGCCTGGAGGGATCTGGTCCATGGGGTCGCAAAGAGTCGGACTCGACTGTGCAACTGAACAACAAAAGTTGTCGAAGGCGTTCACCGCTGGACTTTATTAGTTTTTTCTTTTTTCTTAAATAATAAAATTTTATTAAGTTTTTGATACAGTCAGCAAAATTAAAACCAAACAGCGTTGCCAATGAATACAAATAAAAATCAGTTTAAACTAAAACATAACGATGAATTAAATAACTTGCAGCTTGTTAACCCCTGCCTTCCAAAAAACAGTAATGTCGACCAACTATATCACTTAACTTGGAGGCCTATACCACGTCTGGTGAATATGTAGGTAAATATTACGGACTTCATAAACAGGTATTTCGAGTTCATTAGTTGTTGTGGATTTTCCCTCCCTGTAAGTCCGTGGTCTCCTCGAGCTGCTCTGGGGCCATAAAGGTAAAGGTTTCCCTTGCTCGAAAGCCGATTCTAGGGCTGCGGTGCTCATCTCCATTTCCAAGCCGAAGAGCCAGCGCTGTCCGAAGACTTCTCTGTGGTCATGTGGCCGGCATGACTAGACACTGCGAGGCGCACGGAACACTGTTCCCTTCCCACTGAAGCGGTACCTATTTATCTACTTGCAATTCCTTTCTTTCGAACAGCTAGAACCAGAGACGGGAGCTCACTCCATCATGCAGCACTCAGGTCTCAAACTGCCGAACGACTGACCTTCCCGCCGGCAGTTCAGCGTCTTAACCTCTGAGCCACTGCGGCCCCTTTACATAGATAAAGCCCAGAAAATCTACAACAACTCACCTTCTGCGCAGGTTTAAGAGGGTTGCGGCGTACGAAAGGGCTGACCGACTTCCTTGGAGAAGTGTAATGCTTAATGTGTCGTGTGAACGCTTTTGCTCTGCTTCGGTTCCTTCGGGCGCTTCTATACTTCTAATACACTCACGCCATGGGCATCGAACGCCCCATTCCGTTGATTGTCCTGATTTCATCCGCCTTGAGTCCCGGTGAAAAAGGCGGACTAGCAGGGATGTAACAAGCAACTTGCATCCCCCAACACCTTTACCAAAGACCCAACCCACCTAATACTTTTATTAAAGGTAAAGGTTCCCTTGCTCGAAAGCCAGTCGAATCCAACTCTAGGGTTTCGGTGCTCATTTCCGTTTCAAAGCCGAAGAGCCAGTGCTGTCCGAAGACCTGCCCGTGGTCATGTGGCCGGCATGACTAGATGCTGAGGCGCACGGAACGCTATCACCTTCCCACCAAAGCGGTAC